TCGGGTTGTCAGGCCATCATCGACGGCTGACATTGACCCGGTCTTACTAGCCAGTGCGATAACAGTGTTAAATGCTGATTCTTTGAGGGCTTCGGATGTAAGAATGGGAATAGCATCTTCGACAGTGCTTTGCGGGGTTCTGGCGCTGTCAAGCAATTCTTCATATTCCGACTGCTCGGATGCTCGAGATAACCCTGCATTATGTGTTTGCTCGTTGTACGAGACAGCCGAGTCACGGCTCAGAGCACGCTCTCTTGCGTTTCTCCTGTCTTCTGCTATCTCTTGAATGGTATACAGGATCAGACCCCATGAAAAGGCTGCGGGGTTCACGGTGTTCAAATCGCCGCATGCATTCAGAAAGATCTCATTTATTTGAGAGATTTTCTCCTTGCACCAGAAATAAGGCTGGGGCGATGATCTCATGTGTGTCTCATTCTGAATAGAAGAGATGGCGAGAGAGGGTTTTAAAAACGCCAATGTGGTGAGTGACACGAAAGCTTGAAGGGGCAACAGCACTTCCACGGGTTGCTGACAAGGCTATAAGATAATGTTAACACCCCGACAGCCCAAAGTAGACGACTGGCCACTTACCACCTGAATTGTCTCCAAGAAGCTATAATCAGCCATTAGTTGGAGCCAGGACAATAGGAGGTCTGCAGTTGGGAATTCCACCGAGGCTTGAAGCTGGTGGAACATTAGTTGCACGATGTGAACAATCTCCTCCACGAGACTTGTTCTCCATATGTTCTCCAGTTCCTCACTGCCTTCTGCGGCACTGAGCCAGCCACCGTCCCCTTCCAAACTCATTAGCCGACTGCGTATCGAGCCAATGCATTCTTGAAGAAATCGGTCCAATCCATCACCAGCTGACTTGTCTTGGAAAATTCTGGACCCTATTTTTCGCAAAGCAAGTTTGCGATTGAGACTGGCCGAGGCGGTCGAGTCGGCTGAAATACCATCGTGTAGGGACAGAGCAAGCAACTTGCGGAGTGTCTTCACTACATGACTTGCCTCGGAGAGATACACCTCGCGGAGTCGCAGACGCCTCTTCTCCTCTTCTTCGAATGACTGGACACCGCCAATTCGAGCTGTTTGGTTCAATAGGCTGGCGAAGTTGGGTCCGGCTAGAGAGCCTCGCAGATTCTCGGTCCCGGCCGCGCTCTGTAAACTGGTCGCTTCCTCGCTGGAAAACCCAAGTGTGAGGCGCGCTGCTGGACGGTTCTGCCACTCCAATACAACTAAGCGCAGAGCAGTGATCTCGTCGATTCCGGCTTGCTTGCTTAACCACAGCGCGTCGGCCTTGATCTCCTTCAGGTCAAAAGAGCTTTGGCCATTGGTCTCAACATGAATTGCGGCAGTTTTGGATTCGAATTCGGATTTTGATTTTGCGGAAGGAGAGGGAAATGGTTTTAGGCCGTCAGAGAGTAGGCGAATGGATTCGGAGTGCGAAAAGAAGACATCAATATTGCCTCCATCATCAGTATGACTTTCAGGATCAACGGTGTAGAGAAAAGCTCTTTTCCAGGACCTGCAGTTAATCAGCATATAGGCTCCCATGACGACGAGTGATTAGAGTGGACATACAAGAGTTGAACGTCCCCGGAGAAGCACTTGTCCAGGGACGGGAAATAGGCCTCCGGGACGGGAGCCATGTTGGGCAATTAGATCATCATAGGATAGAAAGAAAGAGCAGAACGAGGCGACACCATAGGAGGTGACAGGAGCGCAAAAGAAAAGGTAGATGGCGAGCGTGGGGAGCTCTTGAATTGAGAGCGAGCTTCAAAAGAATATTATTCACCGCGACTGGGTCAACAATCAGGTGCCCTATCTGACCTTATTGCCGGGCGGTGAGTGGCGACTTGTATTCTTGACACTCTTTGACTCACCTTTATCCGACTTGAGTAATTCGCAAACATCTGATTCGGTTCTAGGTGTGTGAGATTCCGAAGCTTGCGGCTTAACGATCATCTCAATCCCTCAATTCCCCGATCTATTACCACAATTCGTGGTAATGGCGGACCTTGTCGACCACTCCCCTCACCATGCCACAAAGGCGGCCAAATTGGCCAGCGCATCCAACGTGATTTTGATCGACAACTACGACTCATTTACTTGGAATGTCTACCAGTACCTTGTACTTGAAGGTGCTACTGTCACAGTTTACCGCAATGACGAAGTCACTGTCGAGGACCTGGTTGCTAAGAAGCCCACTCAACTGGTTATCAGTCCTGGCCCAGGCCACCCCGAGACCGATGCAGGAATCAGTAACGATGCAATCCAGCATTTCAGTGGAAAGATTCCGATATTTGGTGTGTGCATGGGCCAGCAATGTATGATCACCTCGTTTGGCGGTAAGGTGGACGTGACCGGCGAAATTCTGCATGGAAAGACATCGGAGTTGAAACATGACTCCAGGGGGGTCTACCAGGGATTGCCAGCCTCTCTCGAAGTCACTCGGTACCATTCGCTCGCCGGAACTCATTCGACTATCCCTGATTGCTTGGAGGTGACTTCGCGGGTCGACCTGGGGGACGGTAGTGGGAAGAACATCATTATGGGTGTTAGACACAAGAAGTTCGCGGTGGAAGGTGTACAATTCCACCCTGAGAGTATTTTGACGCAACATGGGCGCAAGATGTTCAGAAACTTCTTGGAGCTCACTGCTGGGACCTGGGATAACAATCAGGGAGCAGCAGCAGCCAGCGCACCGGTAGACAAGAAGCTATCTATTTTGGACAAGATCTACGCTCACCGGAAAAATGCTGTTGAGGAGCAGAAGAAAGTTCCGGCTCTGCGGCCAGAGGCTCTTCAAGCCGCATATGATCTAAATATTGCGCCTCCTCAACTGTCATTCCCTGACCGCTTGAGACAGTCCGACTATCCTCTTTCACTCATGGCGGAGATCAAGCGTGCATCACCCTCAAAGGGCATAATCTCGGCTGACGTGTGTGCCCCTGCTCAAGCACGGGAATACGCCAAAGCTGGTGCCAGCGTCATTTCTGTCCTCACAGAGCCGGAGTGGTTCAAGGGCACCATAGATGACCTGCGCGCTGTTCGCCAGAGCCTGGAGGGACTCACCAATCGACCAGCTGTCCTCCGAAAGGAGTTCATTTTTGACGAGTATCAGATCCTGGAGGCACGTTTGGCTGGAGCTGATACAGTTCTGCTGATTGTGAAGATGCTGGATATTGAGCTGTTGACTAGACTGTACCATTACTCGCGCAGTCTCGGCATGGAGCCTCTGGTCGAAGTCAATACCCCCGAAGAGATGAAGATTGCAGTTGACCTAGGTTCTGAAGTCATCGGTGTCAACAACCGAGACCTGACGAGCTTTGAAGTTGATCTCGGAACTACCAGTCGTCTAATGGATCAAGTCCCTGAGAGCACAATTGTGTGTGCCCTCAGTGGAATCTTGGGGCCCCAGGATGTAGAAGCTTATAAGAAAGAAGGTGTTAAGGCCATTCTTGTTGGAGAAGCTCTCATGAGGGCACCTGATACCCCTGCCTTTGTGGCACAGCTCCTCGGTGGTTCTAATCAAAAGTCTGCTTGTGCAACACCAAGTTCTCCATTGGTGAAGATCTGCGGAACTCGGACCGAGGAAGGGGCTCTGGCGGCCATTCAGGCTGGCGCAGATTTGGTTGGCATCATCATGGTTCAGGGCCGCTCAAGACATGTCCCAGATGATGTGGCCCTCGCCATTTCTCGGGTGGTCAAGTCTACCCCTCGTCCGGCCGGGACATTGCAACAATCAACAAACGACGCATCATTGGAATGGTTCGACCACTCTACTAATATCTTACGTCACCCTTCTCGTGCTTTGCTTGTGGGTGTGTTTATGAACCAGCCGCTATCATATGTCATTTCTCAACAACAAAAGCTGGGTCTCGATGCTGTGCAATTGCATGGATCTGAGCCATTAGAGTGGTCTAGTTTGATTCCAGTTCCTGTCATTCGCAAATTCGCCCCTGGTGACATCGGCATCTCTCGCAGGGCATACCATACTCTTCCATTGCTGGACTCTGGTGCCGGAGGCTCTGGCGAGCTTCTAGAGGAGAGCGGTGTCAAAAAGGTCCTCGATAGTGACCAAGGATTAAGGGTAATCCTGGCCGGAGGTTTAAATCCAGACAACGTGGTCGACACGGTAAATAAGCTGGGCCAATCGGGCCAGAAAGTGGTCGGACTGGACGTCAGCTCAGGTGTAGAAACAAACGGCGCTCAAGATTTGGAGAAAATTCGAGCCTTTGTCAAGGCTGCCAGAAGCATTCGGCAATAACTATGCTAGGAACGTGAATTTACGCTACTTGAGATGACTTCCTTTCTCATCCAATTTCGGGGCTCCATATTCGATAATCAAGAACTTTTATAGCAATCAAAATCATTTCGAGGGTCCTCTCTACATTCACCTTACTTTTACTGGTGTGGTCAAGGCTATACTTGATATGCTAGCATGACTGATTTTGATCTTTCCTTCAAGTAGATCTCAATATAACTTGCTTTCGAAATCCCATTTCCTGCTTTTTTATCCCTCTCGCCCTTTTGAATCCATCGTGCTCGGTGCATTTCACATCAACGTTATAAAAGCACACCAACTTGACAGCTCTGAGCAATATATCACAGTGTTGCCTCGAAGTATTGTCCCCTGGCATCGGACACATTTCTTTTCCGGCGTTCTTCTTCTCCCTTTCTGAGAGAAGTCTCAGTAGACGGCAGAGGTGAAATGAGCCTCGGCGACACCGAACTAGTCGTCTCATTCATCATCTCTCAGAGACTTGCCTTCCAGCAATATACACTCTTCATTTCTGAAAAATTGATACAGCCAGCAAATACCAATCGAAACCTCTGGTCACGAAACTAGTCTTCGCAATATCTCAGTCTTACCTCCTATCAAGATAACACATCTCGTTACGAAGCCATTGTTGGAGGCATTTCCGCTGCTAGTGGAAACGAAACGAAACACCAGACTACTTCAACCAACTCTTAGACAGTTTCGTGAACCCAAAATGGGGAAGTCGTTCCAAAGAGTCCATGCCTCTGCCGTGGGCAATTTCGAAGATGGCGTCGGCGAAAAGATTCCACAATGGATTCGGGCAAATGGAGGACAGTTCTCGAGAGATGTGAACCCTCGAGTTACCCATCTCATTGCCACGAAGGAGGCGTTCAAAAATCATGCAGCTCCAGGTATGTGACTCGTGAATCTTCCAAATACCTAGGAACTAATCAAAACCCTACAGTTGAAACGGCCAAGAAGCTCGGCACTATCAAGATCGTCGCATTCGATTGGCTTGAAGATTCACTGCTGTCAAACACTCGCCGACCAAAGCCTGAGGGGCCATATCTTCTGAAAAGTCTGACGAGACTCGAGAAGAAGGATTTCCAAAGGACGAAGGTCATGCCAAAGTCCACCAAGGTGGGCAAGGAGACCAAAGCAAAGATTGCAAAACGTCTCATAGGTCCCGGTTTTCCAGAGCTCCATTTTCCTGCCATTATGCAGACGGTACTGACATGTCCGCTATAGCTGATCCTTTCCTCGGCCCAAAGGGAAAAAGAAAGCGTGAGCATGTTCCTCATATCATGCGACCTATCCAGGTCTAATACTTACCCATCACAGCCGTGCGTCGGGTGTACCAGGACCGAAAGACAAAAGTGGTTTACAGTATTACCTTGTACCGCCCATCGAAACCACCAGTCACCAGCAGAGAAAAATGCCAATTGACTGTAAGTGATGTTGAGCTACTCCGTAGACTTTTTCGAGAAAGAAATTTTGATCCTGTCTAGCTTTTCGAGACCACCGCCGAGCCACCCACCTACTCGACCTACGCCAAATTTAGCCGCATTGGCGCGTCCAATGTTGAGCTTCTGGCGGGACCAAGATGCAATCTGGAGCTCGCTGTGGAGAAATTCAAGCAGTTCTTCGAGGAACAGACTGGTAAGGAATGGGACGAAAGGGCAAGCGGAAAGATGCCAGCCACAAAGAAAGACCCGGACGGAAACAGCTTGCCTATTCACGAGGGGTGGTTCTATCTTGAGGAAAAGGCGACCATCCTTGGTACATTCCTGCGGGAACCCCAGAGCCCAGGCTGTCAAGAGTCCACTGGCCCCGTCGCATATGATGGTATCGAGGAGAACAGAATTGAGGATAAGATGGCAGACCATCAGGTCGAAGATGGGGGTGACGATGAGGGCGGAGGCGAAGGAAATGGCGAAGACGAGGGTGCAGACGGATCTGAAGCCGATGAAGCTAGTGATGACATTGACAATGACGAGATGGATGGGTAGATGAATCCCTGAGGATGACGGGGACCCCTCCAGGTGGTCAACATCTGCACCCACGAGTGGATTCCCAGGTGGGCGTGGATAGGCCTCATTCAATTCACATTTTGTGCCAAGTTCGAATTCGAAGATTTAAAGATAGCACATATGAAGGATGTGTCTCTGCTTCATGCTCATTTCTTCAAATCCCATCCTCAATAAAAAGAAACGCATGGAAAGAGCTACTAGCCAAAGCCTGAAATGTCTGGCAATCTGCAAGACAAGGGTCCACTAAACGATTCCTGCAATAAATATATCTTGCTTGAGCCTTACCCCTATCAGATGGGACAATCTAAGATCCTTAACCCGGAACTGATCAAGGGCATCCTTGCTGAGGGGTGCAACCCTCGGCATGTGCTGGGGTAATGACTCTCTACATTCCAACAACTAGTAGGGCGAACTGATATGGAATCAATATTCTGTTTTAGGTATTTCTAGCACTGAAAGGCCTCATTCCAGTAGTTTTGTCGCTGCATTCACGATCGCCCGGCTACTAACGTTAGGATGTGAGGTAGTAATTCTCCTTGCTGACATGCACATGTTTTCTAGGTTCAACGAAAGCGCCTCTAGAACTAGCTGAAACCCGTGTCAAATACTGCGACAATGTCATCACGGCTGTCCTGGAAGCTGTGGGCGTGTTGACGGAGAAGTTCGAGTTCGTGCTCGGATGTTCCTACCAACAGAATTTACTGTACTATACATCTTTCGCAACTACGGCAGCAATAGAATGGCCACCTACATTCATATGTCGAAAGGGAAAGGAAATGGATGCATTTAACCGTGGGAGGTTTTTGGGTATTCCTAATGATTTTCAACTCCTTAACGTGCCCCTTCAATCACTCGCACGATGGCAGAGCTCAGCGGGGTTAAAAAATGAGCTCCATCTTTAAAGGGATCTTGAAACCTCTCTAATGTTCTAAACTAACTCGCTAGAGAGCATGATGGATACCCACTTGAGGTCATCTCCAAAATAAATCTGCAAATCGAAAGTGGTCCCTCGAGTCATGAATGTTGGCATAGTTGCTCACTATAGTCGAACGAACTTCCTTTACTCCCCCCGCAGCCGCGGCGAGAAGGAGTTCCGTGTAGAATACTGGGATGGCATCTGATCTACACATCCAAGCCCGCATAGATGATTATATAAATGACTTTTTGCTTAGTTCCGGCAACCCTTGAATCACCAAGTGAACTTCCCAGCTGCTGCAGCTTGCAGCAGCACGGGCTTTGAACCGTTCCCTGGCCCCTGTTCACAAAATCTACGAAGATTTGCCCGAAGGGCAGGAACTCGCCCTTGAGGCGTACTCACCTCCGCTTGTACAGAAAAAGGAAAAGAAGGCCAAGGATAGAAGTTCCCGCTTCCCTGGAGCTAACTAGGAAAGGAATCCCCTAGAATATCTTGGGCTTAGAAGAAAAATTTTGCTGGATGCCTGCTCAATTCGTCTTTCTGGCTAGAACGTGGAAAGGTTGTGGGATACAAGAGGAAGCCGCTGAGAACACAGACCACTGTATGAGGTTGACCTATGGTTTATGCTTGTCAGTAGAGAAATTTGATGTAGCATCATCAGTTGTGCAAGACCGGAAAAAAGTATCCAAAATACTCTTGATCATTGGAAGATTTCAAATGCCAAGGACAAGTATAGAGTAGCAATCTATTTTCCGGCCAGGAAATTGGGTCATGAGGTTCTCCAAAAACTGCTGTAGACGTCTTGAATGTTTTGATTAGATTGCCATTTGAATCATAAAAGTGAACATGAAAAGTAACCATTTCTAATTGCCCTCTAACGCCAAATACGCCAGTCGACCAATGCGACGAGAGGTTCTGCCATAACCATCCACGCCAAAGCCCACGTAGTGATGCGAGTTCGTAAAGAATCACAGGTATTCCTTCTTTTTGCTGGTTCTTGTGTATTGAGTAAGGGCCCATTCGATGTCGCCGCTCGAGCCTTTCTCCATTGTACCTCCGCGAATCTCGAACAGTCGCATCGTCATGCGAGGTCCAACTTCAGCCAGCTCCACATCTCGGTACCCAGTCTTGACGAAAACATGATGCCGCACTTCGATGTTATCCTCCTTGTTCACGAAAGTCACAACACGGTTGCCAACCTTTCCGGTCTCACGCGGGGGGAAAAGGTGCTTCAGAATCTGAACAACGCGGGCACCCAGCTTCGTCTTGAATCCCTCAAAAACCAAATGCGGGTAGCTTTCCGACACGGTACCGCGAGCGGCATTCGGAATATCCTGACGAAGAACGACATTGTGAAGAGAGAAGCTGGCAGTCGGGCCATGGGGAAGGTGTGAAATAGTGAGTGCGGTCGGGGTACCACGGTGCTCGTGGAGGAGAATCATGTCGGTCAGAGCCGCGGAGGTTGCGCTGGAGACGAGATCTCCAAGAACGAGAGTTCCACGGTTGAGGCGAATGGAGGTAGGAAGGAGAAGGCGGATTTCTTTCGCAAATGCGCCGAGGCGGGCGGAGGGTGAGCGAGAGGTGGTAACTAGAGGACGGGGGTCGATAATGCCGGAGGTTAAAACGTATTCATCATCGATGTCCATCTCAGCATCCTCATTGTCCTTTGATTCGTCATATTTGAAGTCTTCCCGAAGCTTTTTGTCATTTGCGATTGTAGGATCTAGAGGCTTTCCAGAAGCCAATGAAGCCTTAAGTTGCGATCTTTTTTCGGCAATGGAGGCATCACGGAGTAGCAAAGCTCTCCGATAGAGATAATCGCGACGCTCGCGAGTTTGGCGGCGCTACTGATTGTGAGTAAAAGGTCAAACAGGTCAAATGCATTCTTCACTTACCAGCATTTTGGAGATTGAAGGAAAAGTGGCTCAAGTAAAGAAAGAGCGGGCAACTTATTTTTTTTTCTCTTAACTCCGGGGCTGCGTTTATGGTTCGCTTGCCTATCCGTAGTGGGATCGCACCGATAAAGAATCTGGGCAGTTGCGGAGAACGCTTTTTGCCCATCCTTCGAGACAAACTCATCGACTTTCTTTTGTCAGTCCTCTGACACAGAGAGCTGGACTGGTGGTATGTGCTGATTTGGTCTTGCTAAGGACGTTCCGCTAATCCCACATCTCGACATAGATCCCCGTTCGTTTGCCCCTCAGGCATATCCTGGAGATTTCAATCCTTGAACATCTCCATATGACGACCGGATTGTCCTCTACGCTCTTTAAATCAATTACGACCCTGAAACTCATTTCTGATTTCGACTGCGTTTTGCTTTGTTTTGTGCCTTAAATCTTTTTTAGCTCTTTTCATCCCTATCAGCGCTCCAAATCGGTGTCCATCATGAGCTACCAACCGGAAGACCCCTCAGCGGGAGCTGAAATAAATGAGATGCCGCGCGGCCGCGCGCGCCCACGCCGGCATGATGACGAAGATGAGGGCTCTGATACCTTTGAAGATGACGACATAGACAGCATAGTCGGTGCACCCACAAACGGGCATCAGAAGTCCCAAGGAAATGGAGAGGAGGAAATAGAGCTCCCGGCTCATGCATGCGCGTCAGTTCTTATGTCTTCTTGTTTGGATGCCCATTTACTGACTATGTTGTAGGTACTGTGGCATTCACAACCCGAGCAGCGTCGTCAAATGTCTTTCGTGCAATAAGTGGTTCTGCAGTGCACGTGGCAACACCTCTTCTTCCCATATCGTCAATCACCTTGTCCGAGCTCGTCATAAGGAAGTCCAACTCCACCCGGGCTCTTCTTTGGGTGATACCATTCTAGAATGCTATAACTGCGGCACCAAAAATGTCTTTTTACTTGGCTTCATCCCTGCAAAGTCAGATACCGTTGTCGTTTTGCTCTGTCGGCAACCATGTGCCTCAATGCCTTCCTCCAAGGACATGAATTGGGACACTTCACGCTGGCAGCCTCTCATTGAAGATCGTTCTTTCCTCCCCTGGCTCGTGGGAGCACCTACTGACCAAGAACAACTCCGAGCCCGTCACCTCAGTCCTCAATTGATTGCGAAATTGGAGGAAATGTGGAAAGATAACTCTCAAGCAACCCTGGAAGACTTGGATAAAGCCACGGCAGTGGATGATGAGCCTGCGCCGGTTCTGCTTCGCTACGACGATGCTTTCCAATACCAGAATATTTTCGGGCCACTGGTTAAGATTGAGGCCGATTACGACCGCAAGTTGAAGGAATCTCAATCCCAAGATGGACTCATCGTCCGCTGGGATCTTGGTCTCAACAACAAGCACCTCGCAAGCTTTGTGCTACCCAAGCTTGAGCTAGGAGATGTCAAATTGGCCGTAGGTGACGAGATGCGCATCAAATACAATGGTGAATTACGTCCCAAGTGGGAGGGTGTGGGCTATGTCATCAAGATCCCGAACAATCAATCTGACGAAGTCACTATCGAACTACGCGCCAAGGGTGACCACAAGTCAGTCCCTACTGAATGCACGCACAATTTTATGGCAGACTATGTTTGGAAATCGACTTCTTTTGACCGCATGCAATGTGCTATGAAGACATTTGCAGTGGACGAGCAGAGTGTCTCAGGCTACATCTTCCATCGTCTCCTTGGTCATGAGGTCGCCGCAGCTCCTATGAAGACCCAGATTCCGAAGAAATTTAGCGTCCCAGGTCTGCCAGATCTGAATGGCAGTCAAATCAACGCAGTCAAAAGTGTTCTCCAGCGGCCTCTCAGTTTGATTCAAGGTCCACCCGGAACTGGTAAGACCGTTACCTCGGCTACCATCATCTATCACCTTGCCAAGATCAATGGAGGCCAGGTTCTTGTCTGCGCTCCGTCAAACGTTGCCGTTGACCAGCTCTGCGAACGTATCCATCGGACGGGTCTCAAGACCGTGCGAGTCACCGCTAAATCCCGCGAGGATGTAGAATCTGCTGTTGGTTTCCTTTCGCTGCATGAGCAGGTTCGTATGAACGATAGCAACATTGAGTTGGTCAAACTCAACCAGCTCAAAGCCGAGCTTGGGGAGTTGTCCAGCCAAGACGAAAAGCGCCTGAAGCAACTTACTCGCTCTGCTGAGCGTGAAATTTTGACCAACGCAGATGTAATCTGCTGTACTTGCGTTGGAGCAGGTGATCCTCGTCTTTCAAAGGGCAAGTTCCGCACTGTCCTGATTGACGAATCAACCCAATCTGCTGAGCCCGAGTGTATGATCCCCCTGGTCCTAGGCTGCAAGCAAGTTGTGCTGGTTGGTGATCACCAGCAACTTGGTCCCGTAATCATGAACAAGAAGGCCGCCAAGGCTGGTTTGAACCAATCTCTGTTCGAGCGTCTCGTCATCTTGGGCTGCTCTCCTATTCGCTTGAATGTTCAGTATCGTATGCACCCGTGCCTTTCGGAATTCCCGTCCAACATGTTCTATGAAGGGTCGCTGCAGAACGGTATCACCATTGCTGATCGTGTCCGTCGTGACGTTGACTTCCCTTGGCCTATTATTGATGATCCCATGATGTTTTGGTCCAATTTGGGCAATGAAGAGATCTCCGCGTCCGGCACCTCGTACCTTAACCGTACTGAAGCGACCAACGTCGAGAAGATCGTCACTCGCTTCTTCAAGGCAGGTGTCCAGCCCAGGGATATCGGTATCATCACTCCATATGAGGGACAGCGGAGCTACATCGTCAGCTCCATGCAGGCCACCGGCACCTTCAAGAAGGAACATTACAAGGAGATTGAGGTTGCGTCGGTTGATGCATTCCAAGGCAGAGAGAAGGATTACATCATCCTCTCTTGTGTTCGTTCCAATGATCACCAAGGGATTGGTTTCCTGAGCGATCCTCGTCGTCTCAACGTCGCCCTTACTCGTGCCAGATTTGGACTGGTCATCCTCGGAAACCCCAAGGTCTTGTCTAAGCATCCATTGTGGAACTGCCTTTTGCAGCACTTCAAGGAACGCCACTGTCTCGTTGAAGGCCCCCTGTCCAATCTTCAGGAGTCCTTGATTCAATTCAGTCGTCCTAAGCAAGCGTACAGAGGCCCGCAGCGCTTCCAGATGTCTTTCAGCCAGACAAGTAATGCTCCCAACAATGCAGTGAATGGCCGCAACGGCGGTCACCGTAACGAGTATCATGATTCTGGGTCTGTGGTGGGCTATATCCCTGACGATGTGTCATCTGTCCACGGCTCGGCACTTGGAGGTCTTGGCCTTCCATCTGGCTATCCCCCGATGTTTCAAAATTTCGGCGAGTCCTGGCCTGCGATCTCCAGTGGTCGGCGAGCAAATGGTGGCCGACCCAAGGGAGCACCCAGTGTTGCTGGCGAGTCGGTCGCTGCTACCGAGTCTGATGTCACCTGCAGTGTCACTGACGGACGCAGCGTTGATCAGGGCGGCGTCAGTCTTACTGGTCTGAGCATAAATGACATGGGCAAGCAACCCAGCCTTAGCCAATCTGACCGATTGAAACGCTACGTCGAGTCTGGCGGACGCGAGCCTTACAGGGGCGGAGTTCCGGACAACGGCAGCATCTTCGGAGGCAGCTCTGCTAGCATTCGCGTGACACGCGGTGCGCCGGGCCAGAACCCTCACGACGACGATGATGCCCGTAGCGTCTCTACTGCTTTCGCTAGCCAAGTCGGTGGCAACTATGACTGAGTGACTTTTGTGTCCAAAATTTCCCAGGGCAACCTCGAACAGGTTCGCCCGTCTTACCCACTCGGTGAAGTAATGTCCGTGCATACTATCAGGGTTCTTTCCAACAGAGTCTGCCCGCCCGTTTCTTTAATGCCGACCAGGACTTTGGATCGGCAAACCCAAGACTTTTCGGATGCTTGTACCCGGGTTTTTTTGACCTGCTACCAAAGCACCGTTCTGTCTATCGAAGGATTGTTCCCTGGGTCTGATCCCTCACCACTGTCACCGTGACATTCTTACAAGGCGTGACTCTCGGGGATGAGGCGACAGACAATGATCCTCCAGTATTTTCTGGTTGAAGGAACTACTGAGAACTCACCCGTCGATTGCCGATGCCCAATTCAGATAGCCCCGGTAGCGATTACTGGGCAACTCTGTGGATTTACCCCTACCCCTGTGGCCATGTGTCATACTTGCTATCTTTATCTTTTAGGTAGTTCAGCATTAGCTTAAAAAAAAACTATGGCAAATTATGATCCCACCCCTTTCCAAAAAAAAAAAAAAGAAAAATCGTAAGCAGGCAAAATGGCAAGAATCTAAAAATAAGCCCTTCCAAGATTGGGATCTTCCACGACTGATGCTCCGAATTAGGGCTAAAGCCACTCATCCACATCAGCTTCTACTCAACAGCCCCGTCAGCCGCTTTCCCCCATCAGACTCACTGTCTTGCTCACTCGGGTGCATTGTCTCAATCAGCCAGGGTAGTGGATAGAAACAAAAGGACCATTGATGGTAATATATCCTGGGTCCGGTGATGTTGGCACATTTTAGTTGACACAAAGTTCCTGCTTGTATATAGTGTTTACAGGTTTGTCAACGTAGATCTCTATCTACGTTGGCCCTGAAAGTACTCCCGGGCATTTTAGCCCAACTTTTCTACGTGAAATCTGCCATGAAATCTAGTGTTGTGACAAAGAGTCTAAAGTAGAATTTACCAATCGATTAAAACGATGTTTGTGTTGCGCAAAGGTGAGCATCCTTAGTCCATTGGAAATCAGTGACACGATTTCCCATATTTTCGAAGACGCAGATAGTTATACGGCAAGGGTGCCAAATACCCAGCACCGATTGACACCACTGCCGCCAACCAGAACTTCGCATCTCCAAAAGCAACAATCCCACCGGTCAGATGATAGTCAACTGCATTCTCAGCTAGTTCCATGGCCAACATCGAAACCATACTCATGCCCATGGCGGTACGAGCCGCCATCGGCCAGGAGAGCTGATCAGCCCCCCGGCGGAGCAGAACTGTCTCGAGGATAATTGAAGTTGTGATACCGGATGCCACTGGGTGCTTATTCTTAGCACACAAGGCCCGATGCGATTTGATTCGTTCAAGGAGGCAACCCACTCGACAAGGCCATCATGCTACTCATACCCACCTCGGGGTAGTAAGTCTGCAGGATCCATAACGTGGAGAAATCACCGGCTGTGCATCCCACCAAACAGCGGAGAGTATTGATTCCTGCTCGCCTCCAGGTGGATCTGCAGGTCCAGAATGGCAGACTAAGCGTCGTAAGGAGTTGGGATGGGGGCTTTGGGGCACAGCTCGGGGGTTGAGATGATTGGCTTTCGTATTCAATGCTCTTTGAGCACTTGTGTTTCTCTGTATGGCAGGCTTGTACACGAGGGGTGCCACTGATGGCGCGTCTTGAACCCCAGCAAATGCCTTGGCTCCGATGAGGTAAAACGGGGTTACGCATTTTCCTCATAGCCCAGATATTTGAAATCCTATGACCATTCACACGAGTAGTAGGATACGCAACTTTGTGCATCAAAATGCGAAGAATACGGGTCAAGGGGCGCTAGGTTGCCGGGTTGGCAGGGATGGTGGAGCATCCCGGAACTGTAGCACAAATGCCGCAATGCAAGAGGGCTAACTACAGTTTACGGGCCAGAACACATATCGAAGAACATGTCAATTGACAATTTTACTAGACTTTTCCACAGAAAGAAATAACTAGTCGAGCGAGAAGAGAACAAATTACGGAGGCAGTAGTCCAACATTTAGCTATTTGGTTGTATCTTTGGACGACCCGGGAGCATTAGGAACATCTCACATTGACAACACCATGAACTCATCTACCATTTAACATGGAGGTGGGTATCATGCGATATGTATCTGTGCCTATTGGTCCACGCTGAGTGGTGGCGTTTCTTCGCCGGCTTGGGCACCATCTTTTCGGGTGTATAGACCTAGGGCCGAGCATATTTCCATCACCTGGCCGGATAACATAAATTCAGATCACGGATCAAATTACCTAAAACCGATCAAAGTATATTGAGGCTTGGCCAGTTGGTGTCAAAGGCTGGTTTGTGAAGATAGAGGCAGTGTCACTTGGGCTTACTACTCAATCTTCTTTAGATTTCTTCTTGTTTGTATGGAACACAAGGGATATCCTGTGATAATGGCATATTCTCGCCACTCGTTGCTCTGTAAAGATTTCAAAAGGCCATTTTCACCGTGATAACAGTTTCTAGTTAGTGCCCGATCGGGAGTGCTTAAATAAGCATTTGCCATGCACGTGGACTGGCGATCAGGGTGATCACTGTCACGTGCATTTCACCGCTGGATCTCTTAGATCTGTGGCAAGCCCAAATCTTCCGACGGCTGCCTGATAGGCATCTTACTTTGATACCTAAACTGGACCTGACATATGACAAAAGGATTGGGACTCCATACAGAGTACCATGTTAGTATACAGTCATACCAACAGTGTCTCTCTAGTGTATGAGTCACTTGTGCTTCCTTGGCCCCCTCATCTCGATCTCCCGAACTAGGCATTAGCCAACAGTATTGTCCATATCTAAATCTGCATATATATATAGATATATAGATATGCTTGAGCCAGAGATGAATTTATATGATAATCCAGCGGTTAGAAAACTCCAACAGAAAACAAGAAAAGCAAGGTTCTGCAGGGGCACGGAAGAAAAGAATAAGGATTACTGCGCCACAGAAGTGGCGCATTTGCACCTGACGCAAGCGGTATAAATAGGCTGCGGATGCCTTGCTACCTGAAAATTTTGGCAACTCCTCATCTTCTCCCGAATCCCATACCTATCGACATCTACTAGGCTTTCACCGCCAATTTATTTGATTTTTTTTCGTAAACAACTATTATCTTGTTGTTTCCCTCTATTTCACTACTCGGTGCTCTTCATTTTACCGTTGTTGTGAATTGACGACGCGTCTTTCTGGTATCTACTACATTCTATCACGATCCCCTCAGTAGTGTGGGGTATCAACTTCGCGATATGGGCGACGGGTCTGACTATCCTAGCCCACGAAGTGAAGGTCCCAACGGTGCTCTCGCTGCGTCCATCCTTGCCTCCGCATCTGAATCCACTGCCCCAATTGCCAGAATGAACGATCCTCAGCAGCCCATGAGCTACACCATTGACGGGGCGCGCCCGCGCCTTTCTGTTCGACGCGCCCGTGATCCCCCTAAGAACTCCGAAGGTCAAATTTTTTGCGATCACCCTGAATGTCAATCTGCACCTCCTACTTTCCGCCGTCCATGCGAATGGAAGTAAGTACAAAACCTTATTGTTGTATCTTTAAACACGCCCAGTGCTAACATGATCCTAGCAAACACATGGATAAACATGATCGTCCCTACAAGTGTTATGAACCAAACTGTGACAAGATTCAAGGCTTCACCTATTCTGGTGGTCTTCTTCGTCACCAGCGTGAAGTTCACAAAAAAAATACCGACTCTAAGAAGGCCCTGATGTGCCCGTACACTGATTGCAACCGCAGCACTGGCAACGGATTTACGCGCCAAGAAAATCTTCGTGAGCATCTTCGCCGCCGCCACATGCACAATGACGAAGCCCCAGCCATGGTTGACATGTCGTGGGACCGCGCCCCCGAACTCGATGGTGTCGAGGGCGTCCGCGCCCCCTCTCTCCCTATCACTGGATTGAAGCGCCGCCACGACTCTCCTGCAGTCGGAGATCTTCGAGACCTGCCTGGGACCGATGAGCATGGAATCGATTTGCACAATGAAGTCAAGAGACTCCGCCGCGAAGTCCAAGAGAAAGATCGCCGCCTCGAAGAGCTGGAGCGAATCGTCTCCAACATTCAGCAGGCTATCCCTCAGCAGTCTCCTCCCGTACCTGAATTGCAGGATCTTTCCCAGCCCACTCCCCAGCCTGCTGCGGCTCCAGTTTAAGGGTTGCTCCTTCCGGACTGAAACGTCTACGGATTTGACCTATGCATCTTGTGGGCGTTTGTCGAAGCAGCCAATGTGCTTCAATATCTTGCAGCTTTGTTGTTTTCCCTCTCTTATCTTGTGGTTTTCTTCGACTTTGCTTCTCTCTTGTTTTGTGTAGCATTTGGGGTTGGTCTCCATTCCTCTTCTCTTAGCAGAAGTCGCTTTCTTTGCGTTTCGCAAGGTTTCAAGGATTGACCTTCCCAGTCTTTTACGGCGTTTTAGCTTGATGGTTTCATATGGACCAGGCGGTGTTTGTCTCCAGAGACGGTTTACACGTTGTCTCGCCTCATATACCCGGGTGTTTGGTTCGATGTATCCTTTGTGTTACTCGCTTCTACCGCTCAACTCTACTTTAAGTTCGATTTGTTCCAGGTTACTAGCAGATTGTACGAATAATATCAGCTTGACAGATTCATACTAGCTTTACTCTATAATCCACAACCCGAAGAGGCCAAATCTTAGGACCCAAATACGATGGTTTCTCGTGGCACAGAATCCGAGACGCACGTTGACACTCGAAGTACAAGACAGCCAATGATTTTCATGGGACGGGGACAGGTATGTATTCCTGAGGCACCTAGGCTTCTACACGATGGCAATAGTTCTCAGGCAGACATCTCAGCCACGCCACTTTCATCCCGGGTCTCATCACCTCGTAGATTCCCGCAAGGCGCTGGCGACGTCTTCGTGAGCAAGGCCGGTACCAAACAATTTGACCCTGCTGACGGTGTCCTCATCTACAAGGTCGGAGTTGGGAGACAAGACCGCTGTTTACAGGCTCCTTACGGAGCTCACTGCTCGCCATGACCATCTGTGAGGCGTCAAAATCAGTCACGGTACGCTCGGGCGACGAAAAAGGACTCCTGGGCTGATACCACTAGGCGGTGATTCAATCATACATGGACCGTGTGTTCGGTGCTTGGATCAACGTGATATCACATGTTGGCCTTGACTGTGTTGTTTTCGGGTTGGTACAGTCGTTCATTCCACATGTCTCCATGTGGCTAAGAGTCCAGAATCTTGTGGATGCAAAGCGCAGGCAGCGCTCTAGGTGGAAGTTTGGTTGTTTGGATTAGTTTGTCAGTGACAAGAACGACAGAACGGACATCGTAACACGCCATGTATCCTTGTAGGTGTTTCTTCCGATCTGTGCCCCCTGTATTAGTTCTGCAGACAAAATCGAGGTGAATGAGCAATCAAGCCCTGAAAAATAGTCCCTTGGTTGTGTCTTGATCGACAGATGCATATTTGCCTTTGTTTTACATCCTCCGTTTTGACATCCTTGATTGCGAACATAACAGGTTTTAATCTGTTTCGTTTCTTGTAACATGCTGTAACTCTATATCAAGAGCCAACTCAACTTGCAACTATGCATGTCACATGCAAGTTTGGAAAAGATGAGCGTTTTTTCGCACTGGCTGCCAAAGGGTCCTATATTTCTATCAATATAAGGTAGCTAACAGGGTCTTAATGCCGTCCTAATGTTGCAAAGATGGCCGAGACTGAAGAAAGGGGATATTCTGTTCGTCGGATTTGGTGTTTTAATTCAGCATCACTTTACTGTTCCATTTCAGACAAAGCCGGGATGTTGGCAAGGCGCAAATTGTCTCATCCTAGACACTAGTGAAACAAGATATTTCAAAGTTGAGACACTGGTTATGTTAGTAGTTCTAATGCTGCCAGGGTACGGTCTTTGCTTGGGGAAAAAATGCAGCGTTTTGATCAACCCTAAAGGCGACGCCGACGGATATAGGGCCAACGTCGTGTATGATGGAAGTGCTAAAATTTATTAGTAGCAGATGGATATCAGAGAGCACAGTCATAGGACTGAATGTTGTGATCAACATATTGTGTGCGTTGATTGTATTTAGGACTTCTACACGCTCAATGCTCGGATTAGATGGGTCTCCATGATGATTATGATATAGACTTCACTCAACACACCTTGGTCGATATGAGCTCCTGAAATACCACAAATCTGGATAGACTTTACGATCTCAACTTTCTCCCAGTTAACGCACAAAAATTCTCGAAGAAGTTCAACAATCGAGCCGACCACTGACCTCGAGGGGGTTTTATAGACCTTTTATAGTGGAGCCGCCGATAACGATAAGAAAAAAGTTCAAAAAATTCACCCCACGTTCGATTATAGACAGTCATATTCTTACAGAAGACTAGACGAAACGAGTTCATTCTCGTATCTATATATAATGCCTCACGCCCCGCGTCAGGGAAACCGCAGGAGGTCCCCAGGTCCGAAAGCGAGAGCGCAAAAACCAAAGCAAGCGCCACCAGCAAACAAACAGCACGCCAATCGCAAAGCCGAAGTCGAAAAAGCCAAAGCCGAAGCTGAAGAGCTCGAGGAAGATGAGTCATCTGGACCTAAACTTATCAGCACAATCCCTCTTACCCTCCAGCAACTGGTTTTGGATGTATTTAAAACAGCCCTCCTCGGCAAACCAGTTGCGGAATCAGAATCTGCGAGCCAGGGGGACAACACCACTGAACCACAATCAGATGAAAATAAAGATGAACCTTTAGATATTAAATCTCTCATCCAGACAATCAAGGGACTTCTATACCAACGCGATTTTGACTCTGCCTTTACTGAGGCAGGTGAGGATTTGCTGCGTGCCTATGCCTTGCGCTGGAGTGCGTCCCGCTCGTTGGGATATGCGGGCCTGTTGAAGGGAGTTTTGACCTGGATGAAAGAGGAGGACGAACACACGCGAGGACGTGCTAGAAGCAAGATTCCCTGCACCCGTGTTGTGTCAATTGGTGGCGGAGCCGGTGCAGAGATCGCTGCTCTTGCAGCTGCGTGGAGAGATATGGGCCCCCAAGCTCAGTCGTTAGAGGAACGTGTTGCCAAAGTTTCTCTTGAAGAGACTGAACCTCAAGAGGAAAGAAAGACTGAAGTTGAAGATCAAGGTCTCAGCGCACCAAGTCTCTCTGTCATGGCTGTCGACATAGGAAACTGGTCGGATGTTGTTGAGAGGCTTTCACGAACCATCACGTCGGCCGATGTGCCATTTTCGCAGACAACTAAATACCGTCCGCCGTTGCTGTCTGAGACAGTGGCCAGGGAAACATTCTCGGTGGCTTTCCGCCGCGCAGATGTTTTGACTCTTCCTGAGGAGGATCTGAAAGAAATCTTCCTCGGTCCGTCCTCGTCCTCTCCTTTCACTTCTGTCCTCGTTCCTATCATGTTCACTTTGAATGAGCTCTTCTCTACGTCTATGCCAAAGACGACCGGTTTCATGCTCAAAATGACCGAAATCCTTCCTGTCGGTGCGGTGCTTCTGGTTGTTGATAGCCCTGGTAGCTATTCGACTCTGAAGTTAGGAAAAGGACCAGACGGTGAACCACAAGAGAGAAACTATCCCATGAAGTTCTTGCTTGACCACACGCTGCTATCTGTGGCGAAGGGCAAGTGGGAGTGCGTGTACACTCAGGATTCGAGGTGGTGGAGACGGGACGCAGTGCGTCTGCGGTATGAAGTGGGCGAAGGAGCAGGTTTGGAAGATATGCGCTTCCAGATGCATGTGTACCGGCGTTTGTAGGTCTGATGTGTTCTATCTCACGATATGTAGAAACTATTTAATGAGCAATACGACTGAGTCTTCCCAAAAAAGGGTGGTGTGGAGTGAGATATGGTATTGCTACAGATAGAAGGTGGTTTGGTTCGACCACTCCAAATTCACGCCCCGAGGCCAGACTCGCCCCAAGTCGCGGCACAAATTGCGATTAATTGGTACATTCAATGAGTTGTGAAAAGGGGCCCATATATCCCCAGACAGCCTAATAAGCCCCCCTAACTCCGCAGACCCAGCAAGAGGCTAGTGCTCTTGCTTCCATCCTTTCCCTCTCCACCAGGCAGATAGGTGACATTGGGGTTCGCAGACAGAGTGGCGGCGATCTCCTTGCTGGCCTCGATACGACGGATCTCAATCAATCCGCTGCCAGCCTTGGCGACGGCCTTACTGATAATATCGGCACTCTCGGCTTCACCCTCGGCGCGAATGACGTTGGCCTGGCGTTCCTGCTCGGCGCGCTCAACGATGAATCGGGCCCGCTCGGCATCCTGTTGAGCGATCTGCTTCTGCTCGACGGCCCGTGTGAACTCCTTTCCGAAGGTCATGTGTGTAATGGAGACATCCTCGAGAGCGATGTTGAACTGTCCGGCACGCTTCATCAAGTCAGTGCGGATACGGTTGGAGACAGCTTCACGTTGTGTGATCAGCTCGGCGGCGTCGAACTGGGCCACGATGGCCTTGAGGACTTCATTTCCGATGGATGGGAGAACACGCTCATCGTAATCGGTACCGTATGACTAGACAACTTCCGAGTCAGTCATTTGCTTGATACATGCCCAGGGATCATTTGAGATACACACCTGGTAGATCTGCGGCAGCTTCGGCACCTCCGGGCGGTGCAACACACGCAGCGTCAAGCTAACCATTTGCAAATCCTTACTTCCTGTCGTGGTAGAGATGTTACGAGGCTTCGTGCGGACATCGTAGACAATTGCGCGCTGCAACCACGGGATCAAGAAATGTGTTCCTTCGTTGACGACCTTCTCTTGCACACCAGACACTCGATCGAAGATGACAGCTCGTGTGCCGCCCTTGACATCGTAAAGGGAATTTTGAATTAGCATACCCCCAATAGCCACGGGGAAGGCCAGCCGATAAACATTTTGGAGGACTTGAGCCATGGTTGGAGGTGGAGGGCGAGGTGATGGGGATGGATGATGGAGATGATGTCTGCTTTTCCCGTTGTCACTCTGAGTGTTCCAAATCGGGTTTAGTGCCCATCTTTCCAAACCTCCAACTTCGCCCGACCTTCGTCTTTTCCTCACTCATTTCGCTACATCCATACCTTTTCCACCCCACTCCTTCCTTTTTACCCGAAATCATTCAAAATGGGTGGCTCTGTGGACCCTAAGAACGGACAGTAAG